TTTCTTTCTATAGATTCCTTGCAGCTGATATCACAGACTCATCAAAAGTTTGCAGAAATCTAGCTGCAGCCATATTAAGTACCTGCTCCGGTCCCCTGCGTGTCAAAGAAAATATGTTGTGCCATGAGGTGTGACAATAAAAAAGGTGACCCAAATTTTTCTTTTTTCCGCTTACCAGAAGAGAATAAACATCATCAGAGATGGCTGTCAGCGATTAGAATGACTGACTGGATGCCAACTGCAAGTAGCTGTCTGTGCAGCGAACATTTCCTATAAGGTGAGTTTCAAAACAAGTCAGGAGAGCCAGCTTAGGCTGCTGTCTATTTGATTTAATGTCATATATATTTGTTTTCCCTGAAAAGTAAATGATTTGATTCCACTGATTAGATACCTTGTGAAGAAGTGCATTTCATAATAAGATCTGGAGTCTTAAAGTTTTAAATTGGATGCCTACTCCTAGCAGGGAACCTCAGCTGTCCTGAATATGTTTGGGGCCCGGACAACTTGAAACTAAGAGAAGGGTTCACCTTAAAGTAAGGCACAACTTAGATATATAGCCTGAGCTACATGAAAGGATTAGGATCAAAGCATAGTCTTGTGTTAGTATAGGCCAAAGTTCAGAACTAAATCTAATTGAGAATCTGTGACTTGAAAACTAAAGTTTATTTATGCTCTCCATTCACTTTGAGCTTAATTGATTTAGCAAAAAAAAACAAAAACAAAAAAAAACAAAGAGACTGAAACATCACTTTTAGAGAGTAAACTGGAAGAAACATAATCCCAAATACAATGAAAACATCACTGACTCAGGGGGGAAAAAAACAAATGCCACACTTTTCAGATTAGTTATTCATAAAATAAAAAAAGCTACTATGCTTTACAGATGCTATACTTATAGATGATTCATTGCGTAGAACCTCAACAAAAACTCTGACGTGTGTGACTGTAAAAATGAACTGCTGTGTTTACAATACAGAGAATTATATATTGCTTATTATATCATTAAACATATAGACATTAAACATATAGACATTAAGTTTAAAACATAAATTGGTTGGATTAAATTACATTTTTTTTTTAAGATTAAGATGCACCACCATCTTTTAATATTAGAATTAATGAGACACAGAAACTGCATGATGTAGTAACTACAGTCTGAAATCATTTCAACAACTGGTAATCTTTAGTTATAATTGCCACAGTTTTGTCTATATTCTGTCTAGAATCAGGGTTGTTGTACAGCTCCCAAGTATTTTTAATCTGAGTTGTTTGAATTTTTAGCTCCAGAATAATGCTGTTACAGCCATATGACAACTTGAAACAGTATTTAATAAGTTTCTTTATACTAAAGTTAGTTCAGCTTCCTGAATGTCAGTTTTGGTCATTCTGGCATATCTGCATTATCGGCATTTGCTACTCCTATGCATTTCAATTGGTGAGGTAGTAATAGTTTAAAATGAGGTAAATATATAGTTCTACATGAGCGCTACAAAGTAAATGTCTAAATTATGTCTGTGTTTAACCTCAGTGAAATCAACTGAATTGCAAAGTGGTACTATATGAGTAAAATACCCTTTGCCCTTATAATATAAAGAAGTCTGCATCTGTGTCTGCAGGGCAAAAAAGTTCTAATGGTCTTATGTGGGATTTGGTAGTTGAATAGTTACTCTAGGTACTGAGCACTTTTACATTTTTTTCATTTTTTTTTTATAGCTTCATAGTCAGGGAAATAATAACTAGTTGCCCATGGCTATTTGGCATCAGCAGCACATTGTAATTTCTCGGTGGCACATGGATATAGCAGTAAATCCAGCTCTTCACTTTTGGCCACATTTCTATTTTCCAGTTAATAATAATAAAACACTGTTACACTGGGGATCAGCACAGTCATTTTAAAGTATGAGACAGTCTGAGGCAGTAAACAAACCACTTTTACAACAGTTTTTGTCTAGATTGCTAAACTCCTGGATACATTCAGTTTCATTTGCCACATTTAACAAAAATAACCACAAGTTGTTGGCCTTTTTTGAGACAGTGTATTTTAAAATGGGGTCAGAGTGTTTTGGTTACACAATAAATGCTCGTGTTTGAATTTTGAGGTGAAATTGGGGTTGTAGGTTGATATGCCTTTGATGTCCCTGTGAGCTGGCAGCAGAGAGCTGAAAGGCTTTTTTTATGTAAGGGAGTTGTCACTCAGCAGATTTTTAGATGCCGGCCCACTGTGTGTTAGCCCATGCCAATGTGGCACTGAGCCGTTCATGTTAGGTCACTGTGATAAAGAGGCACAGCTGGGACTTAACAAGGGCATCCTTTCTTCAGTTTTATAAGTCTACTGTTGTTTGATGAAAAAAATAAAAACATGCACAACATTTGGGGTTTTAAAAATGACATGTTTCTTTATTAATAATATATTGGATTCCTTTTAAAAAAGTATCTACTTAGATCTTTTAGTGTCATCTTCAATAACAGGATAATTATATGGAAAGATGCCTCACTGTCCAGGGCAACATGACATGGGGAGGTATCACATGTGCTCGACATTATAAAGAGTTTGCTGACATCAGCATAGATCGGGTTTTCTATTTTTCCAGAGGAATGTGATGAACCTCTCCTGAAATTTGGTCTGGTGATACACAAAAAAAAAAACTAGTGACCAACACATTTAGTGGCCTAGACCAAGACAAGGCCCAGACCTTTAGAGGTTGAGACCAAGACTAAGACAAGGCCGAGACATTTAGAGGCCTAGACCAAGACAAGGCCAAGGCATTTAGAGGCCTAGACCAAGACAAGCCCCAGACCTTTGGAGGTCGAAACCAAGACATTTAGAGGCCTAGACCTAGACAAGGCCCAGACCTTTAGAAGTCGAGACAAAGACAATGCCAAGACATTTAGAGGCCTAGACCAAGACAAGCACCAGACCTTTAGAAGTCGAGACCAAGACAATGCCAAGATCTTTAGAAGTTGAGACCAAGACAAGGCCAAGAACATATAAGATCTTGGTCAGTACAACACACAACATACTTTACAACAACAGCATTATTTTGTCCAGTTTTTCCATTGCACCAGCACCTCAGCTCTGTCAGTAAAACAGCCCAATGGGATTATACAAGCAATACCAGTACTTGACAGCTGTTACAGTGTTTTTTTTGTTTCATAGCCAAATATACCATCTTCAAAATCATGCACTGAATTAATAACTAAAAAGTTAATCCTGTTTGTGAAGTAAGAATGTAAGTAAGGACGGACGGACAGACTTACAAATTCAATCTTTGTCAAAGTCTGCTTGTTTAAGTCATTAGGTGATATGAATAGCTGACTGATGTAGGTAGTATAAATGTATTGTTAGTCAAGCTAAAAGAAACACACTTGTTTATACTAATTAGGAATATCATTTAAAAGTTAATTTATTTCAGTAACTAAGTTAACTAAATAAACAACATTATACTAATTATTTATGCTTGTCTTCAAGAGCTGTGCTAATAAGGATTTTTCACTTAGAATTAGAATTTCACCTCAAACCAATAAGAAATAGCATTTTTATTACAGCTGTGTGTGCTTAATGAAGGGATTTTAAATGCCTGCTTAAGGGTTTTTATTATTCAGAAGAGACTTTAAACCTGACAAGCAGACCACATAGGAATCTATATTCTAATTTATGCATTATGACTGATTGGTCAAATAAGTGCGCAAGCAAGAACCCTTAAGTTTCACATCTAGTTTTAGACCCAGACTGTGCCTTTGGTCAAGCAACCTTACAAAACATTTAGATTAAGCAATTAGCAAGACTTATCATTCATAACAATGTAGAAAACAATTATGTTGGAGGTTTAATGCAAAAGCCTTTTGTGTTTATGTCAGGCTCCCTCAAAAGCCCTGAGAGTTTGTTTTATTTGTGTGTGTTTGTACTTGTTTATATCACCTATTTAAGACCGTTTTAAGTTTATTTACTAAACTTCAGATGACCAACGGGCCTTATGGGGACCAAAGACTTGATCTAATGTGATTGAGTTTTAATATTAGAGACTCAGTTTAGGGGTACGTGTGAAATAACTTTAGTACTGATCCTAGTTAGGGTTAGGGTAAATGTCAGGGTGAAGCATGAATATAATAACTAAAATGAATCTAAGTCCTAATAAGGATAGGCATACAAACTTGAGTGTGTGGATGTGGCCATGTTTTTGTTTGGTGTTTAGGATAAATGTGAGGGTTAGGTATAAATGCAGTAACTTAGGCTCTAAGTCAATGTAAAGTTTTGATAGGGATAGTAAGACAAACTTGTGTGTTTGGTTGGTGGTGTGGGCAGGGGTGGGGGTGCAGTAAAGTTGACAAATGACACTAGGTGGTAGCAGAGCTCCCCCGGGCAGGTGCACCAGCACTGTTGACCTGGGCAATATCCCTCTTTCACTTTTGATTTATACCCTGCATGTGAAGGTAATGCAGATTTCACTATAGTTGCCTGGTGACTGCTTGGTTATCTGTGTGTGTATAAAAAGGCTTAATGTTTTAGTTAAGAAATTTTTCTGATTATTATACATGTTTGTTTTTTTAATCATTAGTCTGTACAACTGAAATCCATATGTCAATTAATCTGTGCTCAGCATTGTTTAGAATATCTCATATACCTCACTAATGGATCCATTAGGATGAGGAAAACCCCAGCACCTAAATGTCTTCTACTTATGGTTAATAATAGGAAGCAATTACCAGAATCATAGGCATTAAGCTATTTTCCCACGATGAAATGTTACAGCTAACTATGAGCTGCTGACAGAGTTAGCAGAGAAAAAAGAAGGAAAAAAAAGAGTAAAAAATAAAAATACAGAATTACCATTTTATTTCAGCCTCTGAATAGCCTATAACAAAAATACAACAACAGCATTAAACATTTGCACATGTTTTATTATTCTACAGCTCCAGAGCGTCAGTCGCATAACACCTGACAGTGTGGATTGTTTACTCCCTCAGCAGTGGATAGTGTTGCCTCTGGTGTGGAGGCAGCTTTAGAAGTAGTTTGCCACCCTGCGAACAGACTGGATAGTGGGATTCTCTGCTTGCCACTCCTTGTGGCTGCATAAGCTTCCTCTCTCCACGATGTACATGCGTCCACGATAATTTGGCTCCTCATACAACACCCAGCTGTTGGGAGTTATAAGAAAAACAAATGCACACATTTAAATTCTGCAGTAAAAATAAGGATTATATTAATTTCATATTGCTACATATAATTTCATATTTCTAGGTGTACAATTTAAGAGTTAATATTTTATTTTATATATTTAGAACTTATGATGGCAGAAGGGAAAAAAATCTTTATTCGAATTTAAGTATTTGTCAGCAATATTTACATTTGAACAAAAAGTGGAATATACATGACTCTACAGAGGGAAATAAATAGCACTCTCCCTCTCTTTTTTCGGCATATTTGTCTAGAAAATATTTCTCAATTCGTCTTTTGGAGACTCCAAAGCACTGTACTATTCCAAATACTTCATGCTGTTGTAGGGCATTCTAATTGCCCTGATTCATTGATAACAGATGCTTCTGTCAACTCAGTCCTGGCTAGGATAAAAGAGCTGACTAAGGAGCTGCGGCTTCACATTCTCGCTGTTTAAATCAAGAAAGGGCTATTAATGTAGAGCATTATTGTTTCTTTGAATTCCAGTAGGATACAGTCCAAAGCATTATAATAAAAAAAATGAATAAAGAAATCTTAGAAGATGTGTTTGGTAGCCAAAAGTGTGTGCTGTGCTGGGCAGGATGATAATGACTGTGGTAAAAAGGGATTTAAGGAGGACCACCAAGGCCATCCTGGTGAATCTGGGTTTGTTTGTGACAATTTCTAAAACCGCAAGGCCCACACGTACTGCACACTACTTGATTTCATGTCACTGATGACTGGTCTGATTTCTCATTTCATTCACCTGCCTAGCTCTGCCCAGTTCTCATTATGGCTCAGCTGATCCACCTGCTTTGGCATCTATTTAACCAGCCTTGAACCAGTCATTAGTGCCAGATTGTACAAGCTTTTGGTGAGAGTTCTCTAGGATACCTGGGTGTCTCTGATTGCCTTATCCTGACCCGTTCTGCTTCCGGACTTCTTACCCTGCCTGTTCCAGTTCTGATTTGTTTGACTGAACAGTCTTCGGACTGCTGCTATATTTTGCCTGTCTGTTAACCAAACCTGGAATTGTTCCCCGACTCCGTTATGGATTCCCCTTTGGCACCTCTTCGGACCTCTGATCTCCTGGTTCTGAATACTAATTAAGTCTTCAACACCGGCTTTGGTACCACCCTCTGGATTATCCTGCCTTCCTTCATTTGCTCAGTTCTGATCTTCTGCCTGTCATCTGACCATCTGATCCACTTTTTCAGTTAAGGTACTGTCTAAATCATCTGGTAAGATGAAACAAAATATTGTTCTTTAGGCATAATGACTTGTCCTTTATTTGGTATAAAAGATGAGAAGCCTTCAACTCTGACAACTGCACCCCCATTATCACACATGAGGCTAAACATGGAGGTGGAAACGTGATGTTGTTTTTCTATACAGTGAGCAGGGGAACCTAACCGAAGTAAATGGCATAATTTTAAAGGAGGAAAACATCATTGTTCTCAAAGAGAAAACAAAAACAAAAACTCATGCAGTCTGCAGAGAAACTTAGTCTTGGACACCAGTGGACATATACAGCGACCCAATACACACAGCAAATGTTGTAAAGCACAGGCGTAACTTTCTGAAGGACTGGTAAGGACAGTCCCCACCGATAATCTCCGCTTTTCCCCCTTTCCGCTCATTTACTTTAGCCAAAGGTAACAGAGGTTGGGTGCAGCCAACTGTATTCAGAGCGTTTTGCTGCTCTCGTGTCCTGCCTCTCCGTGTAATATTATCGGATCTGTCGCTTTGAGACATCTTTGCGGTTGCATTTTACTGCGTACAGAGTCGCTACATTGTTGAAGGAGAGACCCACAGCAGCACTCAGTGAATATTAACCAGCAGCTACCTTGATGTTTAAGTAAAAGTTAGGAGACGGGTAAGTTCAAATAGTTAAAAATTCCACCGAAAAATCTGTTTGTTAGACTTATGCAGCTTTTTTGGCTAAAAATGGCAACGGATTGTAAGTTTTAGAAAGTTGGTCTTATAACGCAGAAGCTTGAGAAAACATAGTTTGTTCTTCTTTACTAGTTAAAAAAAATCTTTTTTTCTTAAAGGACCATGACTCCCTGTTACAGGCTGAAATTAATTAATCAGACTGCAGAGCTTCTACATATCTTAAAATTTTGTTTCTGGCATGATCATATTATTAAATAGGTTCATAAACCTTTTTAAACAGAGCACAGAGAGAAGTAGGGAGAGCTGCAGATTTAAAGGTGAAACAGATTTACTGGGACATGAAACATGCATTAAAATATATCTCCAAGTTTAACACAAAGTTTACAAGAAAAAAATATGCTATGCTATGTTTAAAATGCAGCATATCCCATTTTTTTCTGGATGGAATTATAATTGTACTTCTAGGGATGCATGATATATCAATGTTTTTGGGCCCTATATTCATAATGCACTAAAAGGCATCTCTCTAACATATATAAATATAAATATCAGTGTATTGTGGTCTTGTGTTCTCAAAAATAGGAAAGCATTCAATAAATATATGTTTGAGCTCATTTTTGGAAAATTAATCCAATGAAAATGTAACTGTAGGTCCATGAGCCACCACTCGAGTGTTCCACACCAACTTTCATTGCAAAGTTACACCCTTGTTGTAAAGAAATGGTAAACAGACAAAAACACTGACACCTTGCAGTGGCTCAGCCAAAGTCCTGTCTTGAATAATTGAGAATCTGTAAAGGTAACTAAAGATCAGGGTGAGGGCAAGGAGACCCTCCAATCTGAAAGAGTTGGAATTTATTGCTAAAGATGAATGGGCAGAAATACTAGTGGAATCATGCATACAGCTGGTTAGCAATAACAGGAAGCTATTACTGTAATAACACAAAGAAGATTTTTATGAGAGTTTGGGCAAAGTTATTCATTTTGACAATCCAAGTTTTGTTTACAAGTACAGTAGGAGAGGGTTTTTTGTCCCATAGTAATGCCTCCTGCGCATGGTCTTATCTACCGGTAATAAGTGATACCTGCCTTATGTCCAATCAAGAGAACACTTGCTTATTGAATTGGAGGAACTTCAATCCCAAATTTGAAAGCGATATAAAGATCTTGTGGCCTTTAGTAGAACTGAGAGACTGTTGACATTTGGTTTATGCATTCTGCAATTGACTCTTATTTAATATCAATGCCAAAAGCAGGATTTAGATTGTTTTTGTGTAGTTATCTTTGTAAATATAAGGACAAAGGATTGAAATAATTTAAAGTAAAGAACCGAAGGATCCAAAGTATTTGGAGTGTCATGATATTGCACAATATTGGAAAGTGTTGAAATACTTGATTATGTTATAGTTTAATTATTTTTTTTTTTATAAGTTTGAAAATAAATTTGAAAATTTGCCTTAAGAGGAGTGTAAACATATAAACATACAAGAACAAAAAGCAATACACAGATTGTTGAAGTAAAAGGTTAAAAATACATACGCCCCGTCGCCATAAACTTTAATGGAGTTGACACAGTTCTTGGTCAGACCTTGTGCTTGTAGAAACGGACAGTCATCACACAATTCCACACACTGACCAGCAAAGTTGTCTCCCTCGAACAGTTCCAATCTGTAGTGTTCTCCGTGCTGGGGAGGTAAATGGCAGAAGTGGGCGCTTGCAGAGTCATATTGCAGCAAGGCTAGACTTTATCTTTCACAAATGTCAGATTTTTTTATTTTTCACAAATGCCTGTTTCATGACAGAAGCTGTATTCTATGTGCACCTATATGATGTTGAGGATGGTGTGAAAAAGTCAGTTTCTGGAGAGCTCTTGATTTCCTTTCATGAATTATGTCTTCTGTAAACTTTAAAGTGTAAAGGACAGTAAAGTGTAAAGCTCTGTTATTTTAATTATTAGTCTTTGATTTCTCTGTTAAACAACTGTTTGTTTGCTGTACTTATTCCAGTCTGACTAACCAACCTAAAATATCTCTGCCCCTAGGGTCTCCTTCAAAACACATAGACCTACAGTACTTAAACTCACCATTCTAATTGGTCGGCAGGAGCCCATGTGATCATTATGAGCATTCCAGCGCTGGAATTCAGGGTACTCTCCATGCTCCAGAATGTACTGCTGGCCCTTGAAGTCAGGATGGTCAAAGCAGACAAAGGCGCCGCTCTCCACCCTGGCTGAGTTGACTCTGTTCATGAAGCCACGGTCCTGAAAGTTGTCACATTCGCTGCAGAGCTCCAGCTTCCTGCCCGTGAAGCATTTGCCCTCATAGAGCACAATCTATTTTCACAACATTGAATAAGGAAAGTAAAAGGCATCCAAAAAATTATCAAATATTTCCGAATCACAAGCATTTGGAATTCCTTAAAATACATCTTTGTGTAAATCAACAAGGTTCATTGGAATTGCTTGGGGAAGATCTGCTTCAGTTGCATTAGGGTTGTGATACTCACCTTTCCTGAGTACTGAGACATTTTCCACTGTCAAAGTCCTTCAAAGTATTCACACAATTCAAGAGAAAAATTTGGACTCTCAGATATATATGCCTGACAGAAAGAGTGCCACTATCACGAGGCAGATGCCACAAAAGCACTACAATGGAGGGGTTTAGATGTTTTGCCAAATAGACAGTTTCCCTTACACGTGTCAATGCTGATATTGTAGTTTGCCCCCAGAGGAGAGCAAAATAATAGACTGGTTGAGATTCTGCTTTGATTGGGCTTTGGGAGAGATGTTCAACTTTGCCAGGGGTTGCTGCGTAATATTTGGGACAATTCCAAATGGGGGGCATGAAAGGAAAAACAACCATAGGAAACAGACGTGAGAGCGCAGGGATAAATCCACCAATAAACTCTCCTCTGACAAACAACAGCTGTGATGCTCCAAAGGCAGTCTCGAACTAATTATTTGGCAGCCCAAATGTCTCTCTTGAAACCAGATAGCCCACCTGTTGATTCTCAGGATCCCTCTGTGTTGATTTTTCACCTGTATTCTCTCGTTTTAGGGGGGCTGGTGTGGTTTGTGAGTCATAGTGTTAGTGGCTTGTTTGGGGCCTTCTGTCTGAGTTGCTTCTGAGGGTGCTCCGCCTGCAGGCCTCTAATCTGGAGTGGTAGGAAAACTAATCTCATGGTTCCACCGTGTCCTAGAGACTACTGGTGGGGGAAACTGTCCAGAGGGGATGTTGGGAAAACAGTTGTTCAGATGTTTGGTGGGATTGTTTTATGGCTATTTGGGATCTCTAGGTGAATGGTAAGTTGGCTTTTATGGTGGGGCCCTTTGTTTGGGTGTCGCTGATAGAATAGGGCTGGGCATTGTGTTCTTGGTAGATTGCTTGCTGAGGCTTAGTCACTTATCCACCTTGTGTCCTCTGCCTGCATTTGTGGTTTGGGGCCTGTTGTAAAGCTCTCTAACACTATATATCTATACATTTTTAATCCAGACAGCTTCTGCCGCTCATGTCTACAGTAACATCAATTTACCATTTAGGGCCTGATCCTTAGCAGGCTTGCTCACATTACGAGTGGAAACATTTTTGTACATCAAGAGTGGAACTGCAAAGAAGGCATAATTTGTGTCTGCCATTCAAGAGATACCATGTGCAAACCTTTTTTGCAAGTTTGCCTCTATTGATATGCAGATCATATTCTAATGACCAAACAATGCAAATTCATGCAAATGTAAATATTTACCAGGTGATTTTTTTCCCCCAAAAAAAATCTGCAACCAGAGGATGTTTTTTAGTACTTCTGTAAGTCAGGTACAAACTGACATGCACCTAAAAAAAGAGGCATTGATACAATGCCAGATGATGCAGAGAGATGCTGCGCACTTGTAAATATATTTGGATTGTAATAAATTACCATTAACATTAACAGAGTAATATAAACTAACAAAAAATGGAGGCTGTTACAAATTAATCCGCCAGGGCAGCAGACAATCTTTATACAATTAAACCAAGCACTGCTGTTATGCAGCAAGAAGGTCTTGGGTTACATTCACGGCCTGGGGTCTTTCTGCATGGAGTTTGCATGTTCTCCCTGAGCATTTAAAGGTTTTCTCTGGGTACTCCGGCTTCCTCCCACAGACAGAAAACATGACTGTTAGGTTAATTGGCTTCTCTAAATTCTCCTTAGGTGTGAGTGTGTGTGAATGGTTGTTTGTCCTGTTTGTCTCTGTGTTGCCCTGCAATGGACTGGAGACCTGTCCAGGGTGCACCCCGCCTCTCACACGTAGACAGCTGGAGATAGGCACCAGCACCCTTTGCTACCCCAGCAGGGATACAGCGTGATGGAAAATGGTTGGATGCTGCAAATTAGTAAATGGTAAAATTAGTAAATTAGTAATATTATCATAAGGATATCTTGACCATTGCGCCAAATTATGGATTTCATACCATTTCTTCTCCTCTTCAAGCATGTGGTGACAGTGGACATGAAACATCGCAACCTCGCTTGGGATAAGCGTGACGGAAAATGGATGGATATAAAGATATATATCAAAAAAGTGGGTGCATCATCTACTCATCACAACAGGATTTTTTCCCCCTCCCTCAAGGTAGATAAAACATAACCATTGTTACCTTCCCAGCTCTATGGCTCCTCTCCGTGGTTTGGAACCGCTGGTTAATAAAGCTAAGACCCGTCCGAACTTAGCTTGGCTAGTTGCGGCTGGTAACTAGCCGTCCGGGTTTATTGCACACAACAGTACTTTATGGCTGTGGAACCAAACTTATTCTCACCAACTGCTCTACTTCTAACTGCTGCAAGCAGGATTATTCCACACACACACACACAGAAAAAAAACATACTGCTACGTGCTGGCTACGTCACCCGCTCCCCCCCGAGGCCACCTCCTTAAAGGGGAATGCTCAGGCCGGTAACACCATGCAAAAAGCATGATTTAGTTTTTTTTTTTAATTAGTGTGTCATTTCAAGCAGCTAGTGGGAGTATAATATAGCGCGCACACAAAAGAAAGCGTTAATTACTTTGCCAATATGTGACCAGTGAATTAATTACTATGCCAATATGTGACCAGTGAATTTCTCCGCTGTGAGATCAATAAAGCCCAACTAATCTAATCTAATCTAATGCAAAAAAGATCAGTTTCCATATCTTAATATTCGTGCACCAATCTTTGTAGATCACCCGCAACACGCTCACTGGCATCTTGTGACTTAATTATTGTTTTAGTCCTCAATGCATTATGAAGCAGATGATATTGCCATAAAACAGGACAGATAGACCCAGTATTCAGAGGTGAGACAGTCAGTAGGAAAGTTCAAAAGGTTTATTAAACAAAAACAGACAGAACAGAATTGCACTGTTGTGGAACTGCGACCGCAGCGACTGCAGGTCTGGGTTGCCACCCATCAATGATTCTGTAGAGAGAAACACAGGTAAGTGACCACGATCATCTGAACAGAAGATTATAATTAAAGTGAGTCATTTACCTGGATTAACAGTACAGTCCTCTCAGGAAAGGACAGATCCGTGTTCCAGGAATCCATGAGAGCACAAAGGCAGGTTCAGAGTCCCCTGTGTCGAGCATCCAGCTCAGACAGAAACGCACCTTAAAGGACAGGATCAAGGTCCTGTGCGTCGAGCATCCAGCTCTGACAGAGACGCACCATGAAGGACAGGTTCAGAGTCCCATGCTTCGAGCATCCAACTCAGACAGAAATGCACAGAAAGGCAGAATCCAGCAGGAGTCCAACTGAGGTTTGGGTGGGAAGATCAGCCAGGGACAGACAGGGCCAGTGGGTGAGAGGGAACAGAATCAGGAAAACAAAATCACTAGGGAAACACTGAAACGCTCTCACCAACTGGTTAGGGAAAATAACTCGCCTGTGGACACTGGCTTGAGAATAAACTCTTCACAGGAACAGGTACAAGAACCTTGGAACTAAATAAAATAAACAAAACCGACTGACCGGAGAGACAGAAATCAAACAGGGAACAAACAGAAGTCAAACAATGATCTAGACAGGATAGATGGGCTATAAGGGAAACCGGCAGGTGGATGAGATCAGANCTGTCTCTCCGGTCAGTCGGTTTTGTTTATTTTATTTAGTTCCAAGGTTCTTGTACCTGTTCCTGTGAAGAGTTTATTCTCAAGCCAGTGTCCACTGGCTTGAGAATAAACTCTTCACAGGAACAGGTACAAGAACCTTGGAACTAAATAAAATAAACAAAACCGACTGACCGGAGAGACAGAAATCAAACAGGGAACAAACAGAAGTCAAACAATGATCTAGACAGGATAGATGGGCTATAAGGGAAACCGGCAGGTGGATGAGATCAGAGATGATGAGGAACTGGGCAGAACTTGGCAGATGAGTGACATAAACAATTAAGGCCAGCTAACAGAGCAGATCATGACAGCTATAGTGTCTGTGCATTAGTACACTAAAATATTTGACAGTATTTATTCCAGCACACCTAACAACCCCAGCTGGGATAAAGCTTTACAGAAAATGGGTAGATGAATGATAGTATTTGTGACTTACAGATGTCGAAATAGTAAACTCTCCTCCATATGCCAAAGGTTTCATTATGTCCCCTGATCACTGGATTCCCATTGTGACATTGTCTCTGATGAAGACTAGATACTTTTTAAAATCTTCTTTGTGACACCTTAAGTGGAAATCTTCACTAAGCTGCAACTGTTAGAATAGTGAGAAAAAAATAAACAGGAAAAATACACACACACAGCTGGATGGCATCTTAATGTCACTTGATGTTTATGATTCATACATCAAAGATAGTTGATATACTTTACACCTAGAATGTTTTAGCAGTATTAAATCATCTGTCTTTTTGCATAAAATCAATTTCACAATTTTTAATGATCTGATAATCCAAGAGAGGACACTTAAGTTTGGACAAAAGAACACAAATCATACTCATACTAGAGTACAGAGAGCACAAATCTGACTTCATTTCCTGAAAAATAGTAGAAATAGATACCAAGGTTACCACAAACAGATCTAACAATCGGACAAAGAAAGGACATCTGCTAAATCTTAATGCCTACCTGATAACCTGTCCAACACCCCCACTTTAGGAGAGTCAGGAGCAACAGAACCAATAGCAGAGTATTGGCGTAAATGGCCCAGGGTTCCAGAAAATTACATAATTTACATATTTATCACACTTTGTGTAAAGTATGCACATTTAAAAAGTATACAAGTATTTCTGCTGTGATGCCGACAATCAATACTTTCTCTATATAGCTATATTTATATCTATATATGTATCTATATATCTATCTACAACATATAATTAATTCTATCTATCTATCTATCTATCTATCTATCTATCTATCTATCTATCTATCTATCTATCTATCTATCTATCTATCTATCTATCTAATGTATAATTATATGCATAATTAATATTATCCAACTGGAATTACATTTCATTATTTTTAGAGCGTGCTCCATTATTCAGTTTATTAATTTAATTCAAACAGCAGCAACAGAAAAAAAGAAGTTTTAATTTAGCAGGTGCAACGAAAAATTGCACTAAGTATAGCTGAAGCTGCAATAATGTTATAATGACACTATAGAAAAATGAGAAACATTAGAAGCAGCTGAGAAATTGAAGTGTTACCCCAATAGAAGAAAGCAATGTTCTGTGGATTAATTAATTGTGGTCATTAGAAATGCATGCAACTAAATGACACCATAGTCAGGCGAAATTCAGGTCTACTGAAAACTATCTCATCTATTGAACTTCTACTTCATGCAGAGCCCAATGTACTCCCACTTTTAATCCTTGATTTTATCTTGCACAACTCTGGCACAGATATTTGTTTTGAAGGTAAAGGTCATCCAGCCTTACTCTCTGCAATAATGCAAAGCAAAGGCAAAGTGCTTTTGACTTACTTAGCTTAATAAAAAGGTTTTTGAGTCTGATAGGAATGAATACGTTATTATCTCTAACAACCTCATATTGAAATAGAAGTTGTCTAGTCTTCTATAATGCATATGGAAAAACCCAGTCTGACTAAGGACCTAAGCACACAAACGTAACAGAGATATTGTACTTAATGGGGCGTTACCATGACAGAAGAGAGTACGGAGAAGTATAAAAAGAGGAAAGGTCACTGAATGCACCTCAGTCGTTGACAGAAACTGTGGCAGACAAACCTGTAAGGTATGTAGATGCATTTGGTAAATTTAAGCAATATTAATCTGCTTTTTGAAAACTGACTTAGAAACCAATTTCAAATTCTGATTATTTGAAATTTGTTAAACAAAAATCAACTGGGAAAACAGCTTGGGAAAGTATTTTTCAAATGAATTCTTTTTTTTTTTTGCATTTCATTTTTTGCATTCTTGGAACATTTATTTATATTATGTTTTGTTTGTCTGGAACAGACTGCTGTCCTGAAAAAAGAAACAATGAAGTTGTTGGTTCTGACTTTAACCCTCGCCCTGCTGTTTACAGCTGGTGAGTTTGTCACTCATTCTCTACTTGACAAACACAACCTCTGCTCCTCTGAAGCAGGAAAATCCATCGGCAAAAAATCCCAACTGTAGCATACATTGCCTGGCAAAAGGATTTACAGTCCTTGAACTTTGATGCATTATTCATGTTTTTCATATATTTAAACTATAAGTTAATGATCAACAAAGGATAATGAGGGTTTGTTAGCTAGAAGGAAAAAATATACAAGCTTTTACAAAAAAAAAATATATATATATATATATCTATATATATATATAGATATATATATTTTCCTCCAACTTTATTTTCATACCCCTAAACAAACACCATACCCATATATCTTCTATAAATAAAAGTCTACATACATTTTTCTGTCATTTTTCTTCTCTGGGCAAGAAGATTTAGAGGGATGTTAGAAGACATTAGTGAGCAAAAAGCATCATGGAGACCAGGTAGTTACGGATACAGTTGTTAAGAGGCTTTAAACAGTGATAGATTATAAAACAATAAATATCCCTGCCTTTGAAAAATAAAATTATTATATCACACTGTTCAATCCACAATGTGAAAAGGGAAGATTATGGCAAAATGGTAAACCTACCAATCATGGTTGACAACCTTAATGATAATCTATTGAAATTTAGTTTTAATCAGAGAGGAAGCCAGAAGACCTAAAGTAAGTCTGGAGGTGTTCACTTTGTCAGGTGAGGTGAAGCTGTTTGCAGAACAGCAACTTGGTTGTCCTATTAGTAAATCAGAACATCCCCATTGTCACACATTGTGGTGAAAGCATTATAGTGCGGATGCTTTTCTTCAGCTCTAACAGAACTGTTCATGAGAGAACGAATGGAGAAAAATAGAAGACAAAACCAGAAAACAAAGAAATAAAACTTTTAAAGGCTGTTGCAAAAAAACTGAAACTAGGGTAGAGGTGAAGTGGTTTAAGTAAATGAACACACATGCGTTAGTCCAAAGTTCAGACCACAATCTGATTCAGAATCTGGGCAAAATATAAAATTACCTGAATATTGCTATTTACAGATGAATATATCCAAACTGACCAAGCATAAAATTTTTTACAAAAAATGGGTAACAGTGTTAGCTTCTACATTTGAAGGAATGACAGAGAATGTTAGATATTTTTATTTCAGAATCAGAATTACTTTATGTATCCCTTGCTGGAAGGAGGGTAAGAAAGTTTAGCCGGAGTTAGTTACCTCTATATTGCTGGTATAAAGTTTTTTTCTTGAGTGCTTTTTAACATAAAACATCAGTGTATAAATGGACACTTAAAAAAATGCATGAAGTCTTAAGTATTTGCTTTGTTTACAGGTTGGGCTCTGCGCTGTCATCGCTGTGTCCCAAAACAGGCCGGAGGTTCCTGCCAGCGCACAGAAGAGACCTGTAGACCAGATAAGGATGCCTGTGTTGCGGCCAAGTTCCTACGACAACCATGTGAGTTTCTTAAAAGTCTTATAACTATGAATTGTATCCACCTGAATTACAGCACCAGATAAGTTATAGAAAGAAGATGTTTCAAAATATATAAATTTTCTACATGTCTCTAAAAGGACAAAGAAGTAGGGGTGTTAAATCTGAAAAAAAAAGTTTTTCATTCATTGTTAAATATCTGAAACTGTCACATGTAACCTTTTGACTGCACAACGTTCTCTTTGCACACTAAAAATCAATATTTCTTTTCTTTCTATAGTTGGCCGATTTCAGAGGTGCATCGCCCTCAGAGACTGCAAAATGCTTCAGATGAATGCCTACATAGATATAAATTGCTGCACCGAAGATATGTGCAACACCTTTCAAAACGTAAAATAAAGAAAGGTGGCCATCTAAACATTGTGGAAAAAAACATACACTGTGACTGATAATTAAAAAATATAGAGAGAAATATTTTCCTTTATGTAATCTTTCATTCCTATGTGACAAAGCCTTATGGAGCTTCTGTTTTGTTTTTGTTTTGTCTTTCATTTTCATGCATGCTTTCTACTCTTCTGGTCAAAAAACTACACATACCGGTACATCCATTACATAATTACATTTTATAACAATTTTGAGCTTTTAATGGTTTGAACCATTTTCTTGTTTTGCCAGATTGACTGCATATATCAAAAAACTTCATTTTCAACACAACAAGCTCACAGAAGACTGGATTTATCTTAGATTTTCTCTAACGTGCACATAATGAAGATTTAGGCTTTAATTATTTACCCACTGCCACATAACATTTGTATTAATGATTAAACTTAGACATATCAATCCTAAGAAACCTGGCCTCAACTAGGTAACTGAATAAAGAGTAAATGATTCTTATTTCAACTGTTGTGTAATTGACAGATGACCGTCGATATATGATTGGCCGAATTTAGGTGTACAAGCTGATGTATAACTAACTGGCCTGCATAAAATAACAGAAAAAAACCTACAGATCTTAAGACAGGATTTTTTTTAAATAGAAATTTTCAAAATTTTGGGAAAATATGGTCTGATAAAGAGTTCTTTTATATACATGTTTTAGCCAGAATGATTTGACATTTAAATATGACTTCCCTAAGGCTTTAACCTCTCAAAATCCACCCGTTGACCGTAATAACTTAGAATGCATGAAAATTACAACGGTACAGTTTTTACCAATATAGACATGTTAGACATTGTTGGAAAGCTTAGATTTTCCACAATTCAACCACCAGGTTCATTTTATGGACATAGAGAGCACCCAAGTGCAATTAACACAGATATAACAGCATGTCAAAATGTAAACATCACAAGGCATCCACAACAACATACATTTGAAGGCATCCAGAAGCTTGTTTATAAATCCAATCTTCAGCTGTTTATATTCCATTCTTCCATAAGGGTCCACAGATTAAAAGTAATCCAATAATCCATAATCATAATAAAAATATTCCATGATGAGAAAATCGCCACATAACCAACCTTTTTTTTATCAGAAAAGTTAGCTCGTAATATTTAATGCTTAGCATCTTGCTAATAAGATTTACCTCCTCAAACCTTTTTCTGTGATGTTTGGTATGTTTCTTCACATTGTCTTCTTACCTACAAGAAAAAAGTGATCGCATCTTTGTATGACTCAATTTGAGTCAGGGATAGCCAATGAAGTCTCACAAGCGCTCCTTGCCTGTCAGCCAATGACACACCGAGTAGAGCCATATTACGCCTCATAAAGTCCTGCTGTTATTGGTTAAGACCATGTGGGCTGTTTGGCTTTGTAGCCAATGAAATAAGGTTTCAAACAAGGGTAGACATGGCTGGGTTGCATAAAGCAGAGCCATCTTACTGGCTTGCGTAAAGTGAAATTCACTGCTGAGACCGGATCAGTGTGCACAGTTGGAAGTCAATTACTAACAATGCTTCAATATGTTTTGGACGCTGAAAATAATAAAAAAAATACAGCTCAGAAAAGGCACTGGGACTTATTTTAACTTAAAAAGCAGCAGTTTCAGTCTTTCTTATAGAGTTTTATGTTATGTTAGGTTTATAAACGTTACATTTTGTTATATACAGTGATTCTGAAAAAAGGTAAAGAAAATACTTGCTTTATAAATGTTTTGTGACCATCAAACTGCTTAAGTGCTATTCTATGGGTCAGATGGTAGAGTAAAACCATTTGACACAATGTGGCACATTAGGAGAGGTTTGGAGACGCTGGTGACACCAAAAGCTCTGGAACTGCTGTAGCTAGAGGTCTGAAATTTTTTGCATTTGTGGTTGACATGATGTAGAACAAATGTAATACAATGAAACTTGCCTATTTTGAAGCATGTCTTTATTACTGCTGTTCAAAAAAGGCTAATTATTTTTGAGAATTGTGGAGGTTCCTCCATCTTTTCTTCGGTGTTAGTATTTATTTAAAGGTCTTCACACAGTAACTTTATAATTTCACTTTTGTGGTGTTTTTTTTGCATTAGGTTGTTTACTATTATGGGTGCACACATTTAGTAAACACCTTTTGTTTATTTGAATT